TGTCCAGTGTTGGCAACACACACTACTAGTGTGTCATAGCTGATGTGAAACATTATAATGCATTTAACCCTGTCATGTATGTTTAGTACACTTTTGCACCATCTGCTACAAAATTGTCATTTTCCTGCTAACTGATTTTTTTGCAGTTATAAGTTCATGCTCACTACACAACAAGCCAACAAAATGAAAAATAAGGCCAGCACAATGCCTGCGTTGTTCTTAATAATAATACTGTTACAATTATAGCACCCACAATGAACAATTCAAATCTTTATGTGATGACCTAAGGCATCTTGCAAGTAATTGATTTGCGTAAAAGGAGTTAGTTATGGAAATAACTGTCAGAAGACACTTATTAGCCAGAAGTTGCTATCTGAATGTATATACGAAGGAATCATTAGCATATATTTGCTCCTGGATATTTCAAAGCGCTGTCTTGGACTTGGCCAAAGTTTGATTTAAAGGAGCCCCAGGACCTTCAGTCTAAAAGCATTTGGAAGTTCTGTTCTCTGACTAATATACACATGTTAAGCATACCATGTCAAGCCTAGAATTCCCCTTGTACTAAACATCAGAAAGCAAAGAAATCTGGCTCACAGACTACAGGAATAGGAATAATTTATTGCTTGTGGAAACTGTGGCCAGCCCATAGCTCAGACCCCAAGAATTAGGAAGTAAATTACGACGGACCCAGGTTCAGGTTGGCTTTATCTTCCCTACTGTTTTTCAAATTAACGAGCTGGTATCGACCCTTCAAAAGAAAAAAGAAAAGATATTGCTGGGAGCATTCATGAAAAATGTCATTACTGTCCCCTCTTTGGGAAATGTACAAAAATCTAAACACACATAAACAGTTGCACTAGATTAGATCTTGGAGACATAAATGATTGGAGTGACTCAGTATGTGTGGGTGTTGGGGGGGATGTGGCCAGGAATTAGTCAGGAAGATAATAAAAAGGCGAAGCCCCCCGCCCCTGTTCATATGTAGCGGACTGGCATCCCAAATCTCTCTCTGATCCAGAGCACAATCATGGTGGATTGGCAGGTCGGTGTTAATCAGACCCTATCTGGCCGGCTGTCAAAGCTGTCAGTGAAGCTGGCCGCCAATACACGCACTGTATTTCTCAAGCCCAAGAGTGTATTCGTTACCACACCCTCTCCTTTATACTTCATGATTCACCGCCATCTCTCGTACAGGAACCCCCTGCCGAGATGCATCTCCCAGTTTTGTTTATGTGCTCTTCCTGCTGGTGGAAGAAGTTCCAATCGGACACGCAGCCGCATCCGAAGAAATCAAAGCAGACAGTCGGCCCCGCATTTACTCGCCATAACATTGTGTCACCGCGGCATATACACAGGATTAACTGGTTTACTGGACGGACCACAAAGCAAAGAGGTTTTACAAGCAAGACATGTCTAGTCTGTGGAGGAGAGAAACGGAGAAGAGCGGAGTTGGGAGGTGGGGGTTGGATGAAACTGTCTATAAACTGTCAATTATCCCCCATTCCAGTCAAAAAACAGGACAAATCTCAAGCGCAGCAAAAAAAAAAAAACATTCAATCTTATTCACAGTGAAAAAAAAAGAGATTCCTTTCCGTTTTCTTGCATTTTCAACTGATTAATTGGACCCGATTTCAAAGCAATGAAAAGCTACTGAAAAAGCCATTTAGGATTGTAAAAGGAAACCAAATAGGAATAGCATTTTCTGCCAGATTTCGTTTGAGAGGCATTTGAAAAGAAAATTGTAAGTCTGAGTGTCATGAAAATCACGCGAAGGTGCCCCCTCTTCACAAAGAGCACTACTGCAGGCACCGGCAGACTCATCAGGCGGTTCCCGTCTGGAGACACGGGGACTCCAACTGAGAGACACATGTTGGATATGGGAAGATACTTAAAATATATGGGCCAGTGAAATCTGTGACATAACGTAGATCAAATCATGGGAGGATGCATTAGTTACCGGACCTATGCAGGGCCGTTCGAGTCCAACCCTCGCGATTCGTTGAATTTCCTCGTCAGATCAAAATTGAGTGGAGTGTCCAGAAAAGCGCTCTATAAGTGTAACAAGGAATTAATATTACTAAATGCGTGATACCTACACCCGCAACAGTGGAACATATTGACATTTGCAGCTGTTTTTAAACAGAATACATCTGACAGCATTGAATTTAGCAATAATATTGCTATTACACACTGCGATGAGTTATTCCCAATGAATCCTTTAATCAAGCCATTTGGAACTTTCCGTTATTAAAAAAAATGCTTAAATTGCATGCTAAGAAAAGAAATCGCTTTAATGAAACAGTCAAAGTACATTAATTCTCAGATGTTTCGCACAGATGACCTTTTTTTCCTGTCCTTATAAACTCTATTATAATGCGCCATAAATCAAGCAGACCACAGGTATGTACACTGGAATTCTAATGAAAAACGGACTTTCACTTATTTTATGATTCTTCCCAAATTTACTGCGTCTCTGGCAACAGTTCTCCGACGAGACACTTTCACCGCTTTCCCTGACCTCCTCACCCCTCCCCACTGTCGGGGACTGCACGCAGGACCCTTCAAAGGTAAAAGGTCGTCATTTAAAATGCGGACGTCCGAGAACCGATCCAGGTCACACAAAACCACTGAGTGATTGCCTCTAATAAACGTCCAATCAGTGCCTGAAAGAGAAGGAGAAATGGACTCTGCACCGACAGGAGCCCCCCCGCCAGCTATCATCGGACACGGGGGAGACCAAGGCACTCTGAGAAAGGGCAAACCCGAATGACCTCTTTCAAAAACGCACACACCGCTCCGGAAAACAAACACGGCCAAAACGACTCGCTAATATTGCAGGAGAAAAGCAAAAAAAAAAAAACTTTGCTGAAGGGGGGTGTGTGGGGAGTCCAGCTTGTCTTTGGCATGGGGGGGGTTTCCAAGTCTGGCACTGGAATTGTCAGCAGGAGTGACGAAGAAAATCCATCTTCCAAGTTAAAGTGGAGAATGTGATACTCTTGGGGCTCACACCGGTGAACCAGAATTCTCACAAATCGGAAAAGCACGGTGCCCTTTCTTATGCCTCAAACCACCCCCCTAGTGCTTAGGTGCTCTTCTCTGGGTTTTATTGTTATTATCAATCTGTTTTGAACAAATGGATCATCCACACAAAGAAAAGCAATCACAACTAAGTCGCACAGTACAGAAAAGGCCATGCAAGTCAATTAAAAAAAAAAAGCCTCCTTATAATATAGATTAGTGTGCAGGTTATTTTGCACCTGAGGTAAAATAGCATTGAAAAAACGAACCTACTCAGTACTTCTTCATAATTGGCATTATTTTCACACAATTGCCACTATTCCGTAGTGTAGCAGCACAAGAGCAACCCTTCTATGGGTACGCGTGATACACTTTATACCAAGCTCAAGGAAATTATTTTCCTGCAGCTCAGAGCCATACAGTATGCAGACGCAGATGGTGTGCTCGATGCTAAAGAGTCGGCGTTATCCCATATGTATCAATCATTGAGGTGTCTACCCATCTGGAAGACAAAAGGAACCTCTCTTCTCCATGTTGCCAAAACACTACAACAGCTAAAAACCGGGTGTCACAATATCCGACTAATAAGGCTTAAATGGATTGTGTGAGATCTTGTGTCCAAACATCCGGAGTTTCAATAACAGGCCAAAATCCGTCAGATCATGATTACACTTTTCCCAAGAACAAGCTGCTTGTGTATCCGGGCCAGTTTTTTAAAAACTGGAGTTCCTCATATTCCTGGTTATGCAGCAGTCCATTTTACTCCGAAAAAGGTTACACATCTTTACCCCTGTGAACAGTGTAGTGCTGGGAAGATCAATACACTAATCTGGTGGGACAAATAATCATCAGTCTCCCTTTGTCGGATGTCTATCCAAAACTCAATGTAAATGAACACTGTTGTTATCTGCCCTGGTAGACGACGGGAAATGTGCATTGGACTGTATGTACTGTAAAAGTTGCCAAGCTTCTAAGAAAGATCAGGTTGCATAAAAACTTGGATTAAATGGAAACATGTGACAGTGACTTTTTGAGGGACAGTCACAAGACAACTCCGCCAACTACACTTGATGATGCAGCTTTATAAGGGGATAAAACCATTTACCATGTGGAATTTGTGAAATAGCATTTAGGTATCAGCATCCCATAATGCAGGATCTACACAGGTACCACATTCTGTCATCTTACAAAATGATCTGCCTCCCTTAATATCATGTACATCACTTTGCAGTGCCCTTTCTCATGACTGACACTTAAAGTGGATGAGTGGAATTTCACCATTCGGACCGCTAAAATGGATCTTAATCACTTCTTCATGGAAAATATGTCAATGTCAGGTTTTCTCAGAAAGCTGATTGAAGTCTAGATCATTCCATTTCTGGCTGATAAAGAGGTCATGTCATAGGCTGTTGTATCATATATCAAGAGAACTCCCTTGAAAGGCCTATAAAACTCAGTGACAATTTGAATGGTCTGTTCTTCTCTTTCAACACCTTCAATGTTACCACTGTTCCCAGAGGGCAAACATTCACATTGTTCTGTGTGCGATAGTAACGGTTTCATTCCTAAAGAAACCACAGTCATCTTCCAAAGGCATCAGCAAAAACAGGAGGAAAATACTGTTAGGTACATTATTTTCGATACAGAAACAAGATGCTAAAAAACAACGTTTTAAAAAAAAACTATCAAGAGTGTCGGGTACCCATGTTAATTGCGTATGAAAACAGGCAAAGAAAAAATCCTTTTGGAAAAACATAAAACGCATGGAAAACAGCTTTTCCATGCACGTTAAATAAGCCAAAGCTATTTCCTGAGCATGCTTCCTAAAAGATAATACCATTTTATTACTGGTCAGTCACTTCACTGTAGAAAGTAAAAGGTAACTGCTCCCTCTTGTGGTTACTTTGGGAAAAACCATGACCCCGGAACAGAGCAGAACTTCCCAACTTTCCTGCCTAAGGAAACACAAAATTCAAACGTTCTTCTTTCCTTGTTTATTTGACAAATATAACTGAAATTAGTTGTTTCCTGGGGGAATATTTACACAACAAAAGTTCACACATTCAATCTTACCTCCTGAAGGATAAAACTAAAATGTCATAGGTAACAACAAAGCCCCACAAGGTTTTACATGGTGCGCCTTTAGAAACAGAAATTCTTGTACAACAGACCGGAGAGAAATTTGACTGGCATCCTAGCTGTGTTTCGGCTGTTACAGAAAGCACTAGTGTCCTTTTCATCGACAGCTATGAACACAAACAATTCTGATTACTCTCCAGAACCACATGACGCAGGTGCCTCTCTGGCTGAAACAGGAAACCTGGGATTTCTCCACAAGCCTAAACTTCACCAAGTTTGGTTTTTTTTAAATATGAATGGAATGCAAAACAAAACACAAACGGTAAGATCTAAATCCTTGTGAGTTTATGTCTGAGACCAGTAAGGCACGCAGAATCATTTGGAAGCCCCTAACAGGCTGTTTTTGGCAATTGATTGGTCACACTGATACTCAAAGGACTTAGGTAGTCCATTCTCATTTCAGAAATTAAATGAAAACACTAGATAATGAAATTCAAACAAATATATTACACCAAAGGCTATATAGTTAGAGGTATTTTATTTTAAAAAATTAGTTTCAAGGGTAGAAAAAAAGCTAGCTCAGGCTTAGATAAAGCCTGGTTTTATGTCCATGATGTGGCGGTGACACACTAAGTTATTTCTGCATGCTCAGAGGAGATGCACTGTCAGGAAGAAAGCCTCAAAGAGGAAACAGTTGTGAACGATGTCTTTCTCTCTGGAGCACGAATTCCTGAAGGCTCTTTTTCCCTCGTCTTAATGTGCTCTCTGTTCTTGTGACAGGCAAGACGACCAAGACCCTGAGGAGGGTTTCCACATTGCAGAAGAGCCGTATGTCGGACACCTTCAGCGTGTCCAGCGCAGTGGCCGGCAGGCACTCCACAGCAGCAGACTTCCATTTCCTCTCCCAGGTCTGCAGTTCAGCGGCCAGGGAGCCGGCGTCCGGGAGATCGTCTCTGTAAATGCTGGCGACATCTTCCTCCCCGCCAACAAAACCGTTTTCCGACATGACGTAAGGCACAAGAGTCAGACACTTCAGAGCACTGAGGGTCTTGTCCGAGAAGAGCTCCGCGATTTCTGCAACGCAGTGATCTACAGCCTTGGCCGTCAGTGCGTTTTTGTAGTACCCGTTTAGAGTTTCTTGGAGAACAGGGTGGAGCAATTTTACCTCTAACTGCAGAGCCAGGGCTAAAGCCTCACTGTACCAGGTCTGGTGGTAAAAATCGATATTCTTCTGGATTTCGTTCAGGGATTCCTTGACTGCGGGCAAGAGCCTTACTGCTGACAACACGTCCGCGGGCATGCCTTGAAAGTTCTGGCTAAGGCTCCTAGTTAAAGAGGTGATGTTTTTGAGGACTACGATCGTGAAGACAAAGTCGAAATCTCTTACGATGCTATAAAAGACCTGAGCCTGCCTTCTTACATGTAGGTTAGGACTCTTTATTAGCTCACTTAAACAGCTGATGAGCGGCTGCACACCGTCCACCAGGAGTTGGAAGCTGTCGTGATGCCTGTGCCACTCGCCGGCGAGTTTCTCCTTCAGCTCCTGTTGCTTCCCTTCATCGTGCGGGTACTCCAAAGCAATGCTGTCTCCCAGCATTCCCTGCAGCTCTGTGGCGTCTCTGAACCAAGCGAACATCTTCTCTACAGTGGCTACATGGCGAGAGATGTTGAGGACAGAAGAAGACCGAGCCAGCCACATATTCAGCGTGACGGAGGAGCTGGAGGTTCGGATGGCCAGAGGGTACTTCTGAGAAAGAATGGCAGTGGCAGACTTTATCTGGGACCCTGCATACCCAATGGCTGAGTAGGCTTGCCCTCTGCAGTACTCCATGTTGAGGCCCCATTTCTCAGAAAGAGCAGACTCGATGGCATCAGCAAGAACGTTGGGGTCACTATAGCAAGGGATCAGAGCCAGGGTCTCTTCGCACTGGTTGTCCGTTTTATCCAAGTACCGAACGCTCAAAGGAATGTAGGGCTGACCTTCCACATCAGTCACCTTCTCGGTAACCACAGCAAAGAACTGCGAATCCCACAGATCCGTAAGGATTTCTTCCCTCTCGGACGAGGAATAGAAACTCAAAAGCTCCCCCGGCTCCAGGCTGCTGTTCTGCCCCTGTTCTGGATACTGGTTAAGCATGATCCTCAAGGCTGCCTCCAGCTCCTTAGCCTCTAGAGGGCATCCAAGGTCTGTCTCTTCCAAAGCTTCGGATGCAAAAGAAAAGAGAACAGGCACATCAAGTTCCACTCAAACAAGAAAAAGCGTTATCTGCCAATTAAACCCTGCCGGCACATTTTGAAACTTTGCATGAAAAGGGCTAATTTTTTTTTACACTTCAGCTGTTAAGCTTGAGTATCTAACATCTTTAATTAAGTCAAAAGAAGCAAGGAATACATTAAGATCTGCTAGATTTCAGATAGTAATTGTTATTTATTTTGTCAGTATGAAACTTGCATTTTATAGCTGCACATATAGGTTTTTACTATGGTATGGTGTGAAGCCATACTAAAGATGTACTAAGATTACTCATCAATTTCCAAAGAATAATAAACATCGTTCTTCTATTACACCCCTGAACTCAAGCATCCTAGCATGTCTTAGTTAATAAGTTAGTAAATTTAATAACAGCTGCTAAAGACTTCGGTCAACACGTTCAAGCAAGTCTAGACACAGGGTGTATTTGTGGGAGTAAAATGGACTGTCAATACATTTGTATACTTTGTAACTTTAGTCTGCTTTCTAAATAAATGCCATCTGAAAATGATATTTTTCTAAGGGAACAATCTATCCAATTTGAGCTTTGCTTAACTAAGGGAAAAAATATATATTTATTGTCCTGAAAAAATTATAATTCTAGATTTTTTCTATTCGAGGCATGTTAATTCATGCCTCTACTCCATCATCCATGGGAAGTTATGATCTGACCAGTTCATATTTTCATTGAGATGCTTTTTTTGATATACTGTGAACTTGAACAATTCTGAGTACTTCATTTTTGCAAAATTAGTTTTGAATTATGTAATATTTTAAAGCTGTGGACTTCTGCACCATTGGATTTGAAGAAAGTATTACAGCAACAACAATAATTCTTGCATACAATGGTTAGTTTATCTCTACGGCAGGTTAAACTTACTGCTTGCTTTCTTCAAGTGGTCCAGGTTTACTTTGACCTAAGAAATAAAATAGTGAAAGCACAGACAAGAATGTGAAATTTTGACAAGAATTCTATAAAACACTACAATTACTTGATACAGCGCTATACAGAATACACATTTAAAAATCAGTATTGTATTAGAGGTATAATAATTAACGCTCATTATACATATATCACTGACTCCAATTTATTATATATGATACCATAGAATATAAATACTGCATTTACAAGGGAACAAATAAAGGTTTATTCTAAGATGAAAATAGGAGAAAAGAAACACGTTTCGGCTGTGGAGTATCTTCGTGCGACACCTGAAGAAGGCTCCACAGCCAAAACATTGCGTTTCCTTTCTTCTCTTTAAACCTTTAATTGTTCCTTTGCAGCCTACGCATGGTGATGCAGCTGCCTAATTGGACTACTTCTGTATATTCAAGTTTACTTTACCAATTGTAATTGTACTATTTTAATCTACTGCACTTAAAACTTTGATATATATATTTGATGTATTTCATGCTTTCAGAAATGAAGCATGAGAATTTGGTGACTTTTCTCTGCAGGGTACCTAAAGATGCCACTGGATAACACTTAGGAAATGTGCTATTAATCAGCTTGGAATAAAATTAATTCTAGACCATATCTCTGAGGATACACCAGTTCAGAGACTGCAACACAGAGGTGGGATGTGCCAGCATTTTGGTACGTACTAATTTATTCTAAAACATTCTTTACGACACACCTGAACTCAAACCTCTTTAAAATGGCCAGAAAATGTAAAGAGAGATATGTGTAGTAATTTGACGCACATTTTCGCTACATGGAGCACTTCCTTCAATTATTGCTGGGTAAGGGAATTAGCTATGACCTCCTTACATAAGGCGACGCCTCTGGTTGCTTACCTTGCTTAGCAGAGCTCGCCTCTCTGGATCTGCTTCGATGTACTTGTCAATTACATCATCCAGATTTCCAACTGCTCTCTGGTGCACTTGGAGTATCAGCAGGTCTGGTTTGCTACTCCTGTTCACAGCACTCCTCAAGCAAGCCCTCAGAGAGGTCAAGCCATCTTCTGTGATGGAGGACTGAGGTCTTATGCTTGGCAAGACAGCCAATACCTTCAGCAAAGTGAACACATTGGAACTGCATTCTGACTCTGGATGGAGTAGAGTATCATAAACAGAAGCAGGCAGTGAGACCCCAGACTTCTCTTTCCAAAAGCTCCCCCAATTACTAAGATCCTCTTGGACTGTGTCCGGCTCAGGGAGGTCAATTTGATGGATAATAGGCATTTTCTCCAGGCATTCTGGGACACTGGTACCCGGATTACAGGATGGGACCAGAGCCAAGTATTTCAGCGTCTTCAAATGACTGTCGGAGAACGCATGTCGGATTTCTTCCATGAGAGAGCTCAAAATGGGAATGCTCAATGTCTGCTTGTAGTAGCGTTCAGGGGATTCAAAGCTACAGGAGTCCTGAGGGAAACTGACACGCCCACCGTTCACCTTATTAGCAAGCTGCAACGCCTCCTCAAACCAAGCAGGATGTACTACATCGATGTTTGCCAGTGCATTTTTCAAGAAATCAATGGTCGCCCCTGCCTTGTCCATTTCACTAACAATGCTGGCAGAATTTCCACATTGGAAAACATGGCAGAAACTGCGCGAGAGGGAAAAGGCCCTTTTCAGAAGTACGAGAGTTACCACAAAGTCGGTGTCTCTCATAACTCCAGACAACAGGGACGCCTGCAACGCCAATCTGTCGCTCCAGGAGCCGCTGGTGTTACTGCTCACCGTGTCCAAACACTTCAAGAGCCCTTCAAACCGGTCCACCAGAATGTCAAAAATATCTTCCCTCTTCACCAAGTTCAGGCAGCTTGTTCTGGGCTCTTCGGCCACGAGTTCTTTCGGGCTGTCCAGCAGTTCGCCCGCAACCTGCACCACTTCTTCGGGCAGCTTGTGTGACTGGTCAAAAAACAACAGCAGCTGCTCCACTGTTTCCAGCCCTCTGCTGACAGAAGGACAAGGTAAACACCCTGCCAGCCAAAAGACCACACCTGATGAGGAGCAGGGTGTATTGATGGCCAGAGGGTACCTTCCTAAGAAATTCAAGGATGCTTTCTTAATTCCCAGGCTCTCAGCACCAAGTCTCATGTACGCCTGTCCACGACAGTATTTCATCTGCAGTCCCCAGTCCTCAGTGAGAGTTGCATGGAAATTCTCTGCTAGCGCATCACCATCACTTTTGTCATCATATGGCAAAAAACCAATTAGTTCAACCTTCGGTGAGCAGTCGAATAAGTACTTCACAAATGTGGGCAGGTATTTTTTCCCTGCAATCGTAGCTACTCTATCTACAATGAGAGAAAAGAACGGAGATTTCTGAATCTCAAAGAGAACTTCTTGTCTGATAGACCTTACTAAGAGTGTGAGAATCTCATCCATGCTTATGTCGAGAGAATGTTGTTCTCCTGTTGGTGCCCAGTGACAAGTGTTCTTGAGATCTAGGAGGAGGTCCTGTTGTTCTCCGCTGGGCAGGTCTGAAACCTGGCAATTTCGTCTCGCCAGCTGAGCAGCAGTCCTAAAGATGGCTTCCAGACCCTGTCTGTCATCCCCAGGATGTCCATTCTCCGTCAGGACCTTCAGCGGCTCATCTTGACCGGCTTCAATGGGCTTTTCTACCTTCTCCTCATGATGCTCAACTATGAACGCAAACAAAACAGGATTTATCAGGATGGTACCAAAATAGCAAGGACAAACATGATCCCTCCATTTCAGACTGTGGGAATGTTACCCCTAATAAAGTTTCAAAGGTATCAGTCAATCAAAAGCAAAGAGTACCTGCAAGTCAATTATGTAACTATCACAAGGCAGAAGATACTGTTCAAATACTACCTGCAATTCTTCCAGCAAATATTGAAGGAACTCTTAAAAGAATATAATAACTCTGACCAAAGAGTACCCAGGTTTCTTTCTGGGGATCTTTTTGCCAGGTTTTCTATGAATAACTTGGGTATACAATCTTTTGGTGACTGCACCATAATAAGAACTTACAGGTACTCCTTCATTATTTGCCATTGACTTTGATCACAGAATTAGAATGACATTTTTCTCAGTAAGTCAAATAGAAGATAAACTACAAAATAATTATTAAATAAGAATTACTGGCATCAACTTAGTGACTTTCAACTCAAAAGATTACTTACCCTCCATGCCAAGCTCCGTATTCTCTGTATTTGTCACCAGATGTTTAAGACCTTTATCCTAGAAAACAATTACATTCATTGAGTCAAAGTCTATATTAGTCCTTATGTACTAAAGCTTGCAATTCCCAATCTTCATCACGTAAACCACGTTTAATAAGAAGCTTCACATTTAAACCGTTAAAAAGATTACTTGCATGGAACAAGCAAGGCCCTTACTCCACGTTTGTAAACGTGCAGATGTATTGACTTGAATATGGCAGCAACAGCAATTGCACTACGATCTGAACAACGAAATGCTTTGAAATGACCGACATGAGGTAAACATGACTTACCACACAGAGCACTTCTACAGCTTTAGAAGCAACTGTCATGCAGCGCTCAACCATTCTGTCCAGATCTCTGGTTAGGTTGCACCCAACCTGTAAGACAGCCAAGCAAGATGACCTCTCTCCAGCCACAGCAGTCCTCAGGTACTCCTGAAACTGCTTGTGATGCCGGGCTTCGCCGCAGTACTCCATCGTGGTGCTGGGCAGGACGCACATGATCCGCAGCAGGGTGTTGACGTTCCCGAAGTACTTCATGTCGGGCAGGCGGAGCGTGTGGAAAATGGTGTCCGGGATCTTAACGGAAGCCACCCGCGTCTTCCACTTCACCCTCCAGCAGCAGAGCTCCGTGAAAAAGTTCCCCGGGTCCGGCAGGTCGCTCACGTAAAGGGGAGCCTTAGCCTTGAGAATTTCGAACATGTAGCTCACCGTCATGGAGCAAGGGACCAGCGACAGGAAGTTCAGGGCTTCCTTGTGCTCATCGGAGAAGTGGTCCTTGATGGCTTGAATGAGGTTATCCACGAGAGGGGCGCTCAGTGCTTCCTTATAATAAGCAACCGGCTTTGTCATGGTATCCCTAGACACACCGGAACTTTCAGGCACTTTGATTTGAATGGCTAGGTTTAACGCCAGCGCGCAGGCCTCATCAAACCAGCTCTGATGGAAGACCTTAATGGTGGTTTTCACCCTGTTCAAGGTGGACAAGATCCCGCTGATCTGGCAGAGCTGGGTGGCAGCCGTAAAATGGTCCTTCTGGAGCCCGGCGCTGAGCTCTCTGGTGAAGGAAGAGGCGTTCTTCAGAGCAACCATGGAGATGATGAAATCAAAATCTTTAATCGACCCCAACAGCTTGCCAGCTTGTTCAGACACTGCAGCGCTCCATTTCTGTTGCCTGTTAGCTCTGATTTTTTCTAAACAGTCCACAAGGGGCTCCAGCATCTGCACCAGAACTTCATAGGTGTCATGCTTTTCCAGCCACTGGGCACAGAAGATCCCCTGTAATTCCTGCACTTTTTCATAGCTTTCCCTGAGGCCAAGTGCGATTACGTGGTCCAGCTGTTTTTCCAGCATTGGTGAACTGCTAAAAAACAAAATAACCTCCTCCACGGTGTCCATTGCCCTACAGACAGCAGGAACGGGAATGGATTTCGACCACCAAACGTTGAAGGAATAGCAAGAGCAGTGAGTGCAGATTGCAAGGGGATATTTTTCCCGAATTTTGTCAGCAAAGGCTTTCAGCTTCCCAGCAACTTTGCCAGAGCCAAGGTAGGCCTGGCCACGGCAGTACTTCAAGTCGAGATGCCATTTCTCCGTGACGGTGGAGTACAGCTGCTCAGACAGGGAGTCAGCATCCAGATCAGCTTCTACAAAGCCCATCAGCTCCAGCCTCATGTTATCAAAGTTATCCACAAACCTCAGGAAGAGAGGGAGGTAATCCTTCTGCCCAAGAGTGACCACCCGGTCTATGAAGAGGGAGAAGAAAGAATTTCCTATCTCTGCAAGGATCCCTGCTCTCACTGCATCTTCGCAAACGGCCAGCATTTCCTTCATTTCAGGTGTGCACATATGATCTAAGCCTCCGCCCTTTTCCGAACCTCTGCACACACCAAGGGCGTCCTCAATGTGACTGCCACAAACCATCTTCACTACAGCCTTCAGGGTGGACTTCAGGGTCTCCTGATCTTTCTCAGGACTTTCAGACTGATGAGGGCTCCCTCCTTTCACATCACCAGTCATTATCTGCGACTCCTCTACCTCCTCCTTCGACACACATTCTTCACCATCTTCAGGAACTGCAAAATAATTGAAAACATGGATGCAAGCAAGGTCAAACCAGCCCAGAACAACATAATCTGAGAATGAGGTTGGTCATGAATGTGTTCTCAAACTAAGAAATACGATTTATAGAAAAAATTCTAGGATGGAAGGCAAAATGAACTTGTTACCTTTAAGATGAGGTTCTGTCAGGTCTTCTTCCTTTGAGGTGCAAAAAGAATGGAGTTAAATTATATATTGGATAACAATGAAGCAATACCTAGGAAAACATTTCACACACTTTTAAACTTCTTTCAACTTCTGCTGCAACATGTGTATGAAATCCAGTTCCAATGCTTGGGAGAAAGTGAATTTATACATCCTACATTTACGCAAACCTGATCCATTGCTTATATTGTTTTTCAGTGCCTGGGAAACTTTGGAGACCGCTAGATCACCACCACTTCTGCACTCATAGATGTCAATCGCTCAATTTGTACTACAAGTTGTACAGCTCTAGACGTGAGTGCTTACCTTCCGCAACAGCTGCAGAATGTCAGGATGCTTTTCCACGTAGGCATCAACCATGTCTTCAACGCTGAAGTGCACATCCTGATTCACGAAGACGAACGCCACGTTGGAAAGCCTCTCGTCAGGAGGCGTCACCTTCAGGTAGGAATGGAATCGTTCCAGCACCATGTCATACTGCCCATACACGTCCGCTTCCACGTTCACACAGGGAATGGTACCTAGGACCTTCAGCAGGCTCTGCACGTTGGGATAGAACCCGATGTCGGGGATTTTCAACGTCCCGAAGACGGTGGTGGGGAGAATCCTGCGCTTGCTGGCGTGTTTCCATTTCACCTCCCAACAGCCAAGCTCATCATAAAAAGAGTCTGGCCTGGCCAGGTTGTTCAAGTTGGCATCCGCCACCTTGTCTCTGCGGATGCTAAAATTGTGGTCCGCCATGTAAGAAGGCACTAAAGTCAGCCACCGGAGGATCCTGACCATCTCCGAACTAAACACCTGCTTCACCTCCTGGATGAGGTACTGCAGGACCTGAGTGCTCAGCGTTGCCCGATAGAAGTCTTCCGGAGAGGTTTGGACCTTCCGGCCTGCTCCTTCTTCAGAGTTGTCCAGGTTTTCCGGCAGCGTCACTTCCACTCCCAGCTTCCTTGCCCTGTTGCAGGCATCCGAGAACCACTTCCTGTGGAAAATGGCAATTTCCTGCAGCTGCTTGCTGAGTAGTTTTAAGGCATTGGAGATGATGAACTGCAGCGTGCTGCTGATGCTGATCGTTCCTTTAAGGCTGGGGTTCAGGATGCTGACGCAGCAAAGAGTGTTCTTCAAGACGACAAGCGCAATGATGAAGTTGAAATCTGTCAGCACTGGCTTCAGCTTGCCCACCCGCTCAGCAGTAGCCGGGTCGGCGCGTACCTCGCTCATACACCTAATGAAAGGCTCTAAAATGTCCAGCATCGTCTGGAAGGCGTCGGCGCCGTACTCCCAACGCGTCTGGTAGGCTTCTCGGATCCTCTCCACCTCGCCCTTGATGTGCCCATACACCGCGACGAACTCCTCTTCCAGTTTTTCCTGAAGAGCCGCGGAACTTCTCAGGACCGCGGCCACTTCTTCCACGGTGTTCACCACCCTCTGGATGGAGGCGATGGGCATGCAGCGGATCAGCCACACGTTGAAGGCGTAGGGGTCGCTGGGCGTCAGCACCACCTGCGGGTACTCCTGCAGGATCCGGCTGGCGACGTCCTTCATCTTCTGGCTGATGCGGCCGCTGGTCAGGTACGTCAGCCCCCGGCAGTGTTCCATGCGCAGCCCCCACTTGTTTCTGACGGCGGAGAGGAGCATGTAGGCCAGCGTTTCCGCTTCCCCGTCGCACGGCAGGAACCCCATCAGATGCTTCTGGGGGAAGCCGGCGACGGTGACGGACCTGACGAACACGGGTATCTGGTCCCTCCCTTCGATGCTCGCGACGTCCTCCAGGAGCACCGAAAAGAACCGCGCCGACCGCAGGCTGCCGCGGATCTCGTCCCGCATGCAGTCCTCCCCCACCTGCAGGACCTCCCTCGGGTCAATCTTCCCGGCGCACGCGCAGCTCGGACGGGCGAGGCCCGCGCGGCTCTCCGGGGGCTCGCCCGCGGCGGCGCTCGCCCTGATGCTGAAACCGGTGAAGGCCAGAGTTTCCTTAAAGTACAGCTTGAGGGTTTCCTTGGTTTTGGAGATGGAGGGATCCTCTTCCTCGCAGGCGTCCCTGTCCAGCCCACACGCTGCGCTGCTCTCGCCGAGCACATCCTTCGGCTCGAGCGCGGGGCAGGGCTCGCCATCTACAGAGATATTGCAAGAACTTTTTATTATCCCCAGCGCTGTAAAATACATGAATGAAAACACACCGTGTTCAAAATGTTCAGAATCCACCTCTGGATTTAAGTGAAACCCAACTAAGAGCCTGTGTGACAAAAATGTTTTCAAGTTACCAAGTAATCAGGTGGAAGCCTTATTACAGTATCAGTAAAAGATCAAAAGGGGAGAATCTGAATGTCTTACTAAGGTCCCGCTGTCACTGGTAGAATTTCCCCACAGGCTGGGTTTCAAGATAAAAAGCGAAATCCCTCAAACGCCATACATTACTCACGACTAGGAACTCCAAAATAATTGCAAGCCAAGCGGCGAGAACCCCCCACCATTTACTGACCTTTTGCTTTCTTCGAGTCCGACGACTCTTCTTCATTCTAAAAACGTCAAGGAAAATGTCTTTCAAAATCTACGAGATCGGATCTTGACAAGATAAGATCTTAGGATGTAATTGGTCAGAGATCAATTCATTTTTTATGGCAAAATCTATTAAAGATGAGATAAACAGCTCATATTCCCCCACCACCCCCCTCCCCAAAATATCACTTAATGGAAGATGAATGGAAAGCTCTTTTGCTTGAAAGAAAAGCTTGGTTCTGGAGAGCTAAACCACACTGGGGGAGAAAAGAGAAAAGTATGCCCCCTTAGAACAGGAATAAAATACGAACAAACTATCTTTTTGACTTTGACCTTACAGGATTCCAAGGAGATAGATGCCTATAAGAGCCTGAAGGTGTTAAAAGAAAAAAAAAACATACATTGCAATGACAAAATACAAAATAAAACCTGCAACATCTTTAGGTTAATTAAATATGATCATATGCTTTCCGCCATGGGATTTCTTAACCAAGAGTTGGAATCCACGCATTCACATTACAAATTAGATCACCGGCACCGACAAAATGAATAACAGACTCACAATTTCTCTTATTCTTTTCCTGTTGTGGCTGTTCGGGTTGTTCAGATGGCTTGTGAAGTCGAATATGGTTGGAACAGCATCCTGTTGCAGAACTGTTCTCAGAGTGCTCTAAAAAATTGGGAGTCAACACGCAAAAATGAAAATCTTGCACAAAAAAAAAACCCACTTGGGTGTATTTGAACAGGCACTCCAGGTGGGATTAGGTAGAGATACAATGTGCAGACCCCCAACAGCTAAATATATATACACAGAAATAAGTACAGACTTTAACCGAATTAAAAAAAAAAACACTTTTTATCCTTCCCCTTATAACAGAATCGCAAGATGACTTAACTATGGCTTTTTACTTTTCTTAGTAAACGCATTAGAATCATCAAGATTTACGAACCAGTCTCATCTGCAATGCAAAATCAAAATGTATTCCACTCCGAGCACGACAAATGCATTACTGCTTGGGCTTTTTAAAACAGCACATAAAGTAAAGACATCTCAGTCGGATTCTGGCACGGAGATCTCTGGGGTGGGACCGGGTTTTGTGAAAGATTAAGAACCTACGGCTTTCATCAGCCTCCACCGGTTCGCAAAAGTGAAACCCAACACTGCAGTACACCTGAGGAACTAAATCCCACACTGGCCACGGTGACTGAAAAAAGAGAAGCGAGACGCCGAGCTCACGAGTCGGGGTGAAAAGGATCACTCACATTCTTGCATATCAGGGAGGGTTCGAAGTGTCTGGCACAGAGCTTGTAGAGTTTGTGCAGCTGCTCGGGGGTCTTCTGCTCCAGATCTGGCCGGCGGCATTTATCCAGCCACTGCTTACATCTACAGCAGGGGGACCCAGAATATCAGAACATTCCCAACTGCACGTCAGGCGAATAAAACAGCAAACTTTGAACGCTTAATAACAGCCACAATCACACGGACCTCCTCGTACTAAAAATAAGAGTCATTGCAGCCACACTGCAGAAACCACTGTGGACAAAAGATACATTATACCACATTTATGCAGGTTCAAGGCCCCAAAGTGAACTTACGCTTTTAGGAAAAGTCAGTAGAGAGTAGAGTGTAATGCAAGCACGAGAAAGAAGAGCCATACTGACAGCAGTGTTGCAGCCCTATAAGGTGCCTGCGTGACATTTCAGAAACTAGTTCAGGTGGGCAGCTGCGTCAGCATGCATAGGCTGCAAAGGAACAAGTAACGGGTTTATTCCCTGCTGAAAAGAGAAGAAAGAAAACACGACGTTTCGGACGTGGAGTCTTCTTCAGGTGTGAGAAGAAGGCCACACCTGAAGAAGGCTCCACAGTTGTTACGTTATTTACGTCGTGTTTTCTTTCTTCTCTTTTCTGCATGGAATAAACCTGTTACTTGTTCCATTTCAGGAACTAGGCCAGGCTAGGCCTAGTCAGTACTGCGATGGTCCTCTCAGGTAAACCTAAGATGTTTGCAGCTGTAACTGGTGCTGGTGCCTGCTAGGTGGCGCTATTTTCCCTGGTGCTTCAGTGTGGCGACAGAAGACACTGTGTTGTAGGAGGTGTCTCAGGTGGGGCTGCACATTGGTGGTGGAAGGGAGTCCCCATTACCTGTAAAGCGCTTTGAGTGGAGTGTCCAGAAAAGTGCCATATAAGTGTAAGCAATTATTATTATTATTATCCTGCAGACGAGATGTTACATCAAGTTCCTGACTACTGGATTATTGAAATAAATGCAGGGGCACTACCTCAGGGTGCTGGCTCAGCTGAACTTTGGGCTGGTCAGATCCAACCTTCCTCAATCCCTCACTTCTCTGCCTGATCTGCCCTGCTGTGGGGCACTCAGTGCTCTTCAGTGGAGCATGGAGTGGGCTTCCTCCTATATATGAAGTGCTTTGGGATCCTTTTACAATACCAGGGATGCCGAACTACATTTCTGTAGAGACCAGCGTCTTCTGGCTCTCACACGTAGTTAACTACATAATTGTAAAATATTTATAAATAACCTGGCTGCAAAGTGTTTTATAGGTAACTGTGCTTTCAATGAGGGTCACGTGTTATCATCTGCACAAGTATCCTAAATATATAGGTCTACGCACGTAAGTAATTAGGTTAAACTGACTACGCAGGTTGGAACAAACCCTGAAGACACTAGGCCCTCCAGGAACCGAGCATGAGACCCACCCCTGCACTGTACAAAAGCAAGGAATTGTCGTGTATTATTACTGATACAAACATCTGCCGACATGCTTCACGTTTCTTGAATACTGAACTTATCAATTTAATCCGGGATGTGTAGGTATAAAAAATAAGAATGATGATGTATAACAATGTCTTGTTCATATCAAGTCAGTTACGCATTTAATGTTTAAACTACACAATCTGCTAGAACGCATTTGCTGTCAAATGTTTTACCATAATCATTTAGTTTGCCAACACTAAAACGCGGTTTTTGCGATCGAGTAATTTACATTTTTAAGTCGTATCATACTATTTGTACTGTACAAGGACGGGTAAATTTCATATATGAATACAAGCCGCCCTGGATATCGGTTTATGCTAACCATTATAATCACCACTATAATAAGCATGTACTCATCCTGCTGAAAAGACAACATTTATTCAGATAAGGGAACTGCGAAAGAAACGTAGATTCAGAGTGACAGTGCCCCTTTTAATTTGAAATATCTTTACATGTTTTAAAGATCAATGCAGCTAATCGTAGAATATTAAAATATCTTCTGACTTACCGCACTGGGTCTCTCGGAAACCTGAAGAAAGCAATGTTGGACTGGTCTGTACACTGATTGCAGTTCGCGGCGGCACAGATATCGGGCATTTTGGACTGCATGTAGTTTGGAAACACTCGGCGTGAAATCCTAACGCATCGTTAGTTTAATTGTACTCTTCTTCTCTACAGCTTATAATTCGCGCTGAGTGTACACATCGAACTCCCCAAACGCCCCTGCACTAATTCTCAGCATGTTTATGCATTAATGCCCCCCAAAACTTGTATTTAACCGTGATGTAATTCTGGCGACTCGTTAAAACAGGAAGAGCGTTTGGTTAAACGGAAACTGACAATGCTAAAAGGAGACATGCATTGTGCACAGCCATAGAGCCTCACCTATAAAGACCTTTATCCTGTCAAAACTTGTCTTGCGCATTCACTTTCGTACTCCATAAGCGCAAGTCGCAACGTAACCCCTCACTTCACTAAAAAAAAAAATACTATACATTAAAACATCCCCCGCTGCGATTTCGTTGAAGTGACCACGAGGCAGAAATTCTCAGTCGCCAGCTCCAGTCACGTGACGGGTGCTTCCACCTTCACTCCACTCACTGCCCTCAAATTAAGTGTCATGAAGCCAGCGGCAGCCATTTTAGATAATGGCACGGCGAGCGTGATTTCGCGCTCTGCAGGCAGAGCATATACAGTATATATATAACCCGCAAAGTACGGTGCTTTTTCTAACGTTCCCTTCTGCGACGTTGACGTTTGTATTACACCCACAATGGCAAATTACAGTTTATAAAGAACATCCCCAGCATTGCACTTGCAGAAGAGTTATGCACAACCCAGTACACGTGGTTCAATGGGCCATGGCAGACTGAAATTTCAACGTTGTTTTTTTTTTAAAAGCGTAATATAATATAAAAGGTGATATAAAAGACTCGCGTGTGTGTAGCAAAGCATTCAGAACTTAAAACTTAAGTTTTAACTTTGCGTGAACACACAAACTCCACTTTTCCTAATTTGTCTTGCCAAATAACAATTGCTTACACTTATATAGTGCTTTTCTGGACACTCCACTCAAAGAACTTTACAGGTAATGGGGACTCCCCTCCACCACCACCAATGTGTAGCATTCACCAAATGAAACCTCTTTTCAATATCAAGAAGATGCTTATTCCTGGTGAGTGTAATGGCAATATGTAGCCCATGTGACAAACAGAACACACACAAGACACTCCACCTTGGAACCCAGGATCCAAACTAACAACCACTTCACAGCACCGCTCATCAAAATGAACCAGTATTACATAAAATAATTAAACCTCCCACTGTGACACTGTACTGTAGCATTAACCCCAAATAATTTATCTCTACAGTAGTGTATCACAAATAATTCAAAACAAAATCTAAACCCAAAAAAAAACCAATATGTAACTTGCTTTATTTTAACAGATAATGGTACAACTATTCATTAATGCATCATACAATTCATATTTAAAAATGAACATCTTCATCTCCAACTCAGGGAACACAACCTAATCATTCATTGCAATGGGATACCACTCATAATATTCATCAACCTAAATCTAGGTTTAGGTAAAATATTCAAAAGATATTTGAATATTTCTGCTTTAAACCTTTAATATTATGTGTAAAAACAGTTCATTGTTTACTAAAAAAAAAATTTGATTCCAGATTATAAGTGTAACAGTCTTCTTCCTGGTACAACATAGAAGAAAGAACCAACTTTCATACTATGAATCAGACACTGTCCGAAACATTTTTTTCCTCTAATTCTAATACAGCTAACCTAATTTACACAGTATTTTAACTCATGATAGTAGAGATATTCACTGTTTTTTTGTTGGAAAATTAAGACAAGAAAACATCCAAAGAAATTAAAAACCAAGTCTCTCCACATGTTCTGGCTCCTCTTTTTAAGAACTCACTCTAAATAAGGGATTAAAAATGACAAACATCACGATGAAATGTCTACTTATAAATAATATGACAACTATAAAATATTAAAAGCAAGGACAACTGGTCTGTACTTCTTCACCATGTACAATTTTGTTTCCATTTTACAAAGACAACGGAACGCAGAGTGAAAAATTCCTCTATTTCTGGCCGGTCTTTGAGGAAAACTTCACAACTGTAAACCTGGTCTGTCCAGTCCCCATCTAAGAGGGCTGGTAATGTGATGATTTTCTCATCATTAAAGCCGCAGGACCTAAGGAACTGAGAGATGTTATATAAGCAGTCCAATCAAGCAAAACCAAGCAGATTTAGGCTATCAAGAGCCAAGCTGGGAAAAAAACCCTGCAGATACACAAGGCTTTGAGGACCAGATCAGCCGGCACTATGCTATTCTTTTTAATCTTGTGGTGATATCAACAGGATTTCTTGCACAAGTGCACAATTCGGCCTTGGGAGTTTTACATTCCATCTCCAAACTACTTCTCAACTGCAAACCTGCTGCTTTTTTACAACTTAACCAGCTCCCAAGTGATGACATCCAAGGGTGTAACCTGACTGACTTGTATGGTTAGTGCCTAAATTTTAAATCAAGGGTAATGTTATAAAAGACTCATCCAATTAAGATGGAGGGCCTTGCAAAAAAATTTAAAAAATATATTACACGTAGAACACAAAGTATATTAAACTCTTGCTTCAGCACAACCGCGGTGAACAAATGAAATGGTTATTGTTGATGTCCATTCACTGTTTCAGCAGATTTTATTTTGTACAAACAGAAAAAATGGCATCTGTAATGCACTATCAAAGAACATACAAACACAGTCGCTAGAATGTACCAGCAAAAATGTATACGACAGTAGCTGGATCTTTAAAACTATAAAGATCAAGGCTTCCACGCGACACATGTTTGCTTTTTGTTTGCTTGTTTTTGTCCTTTGTTTTAATGTTTGTTTTCTAGGTTTCAAAATATACACCTCAGGAAAAAAAAGTGCTTAATGTCAGCAAGCCAGGCCTCACTCTTCTTCCTTCTCTGGGTACATTTTAGTGTAGGTATCAACCATGAAGTCTAAATCATGCTTCACATCGTAGTTGATGTTGAGCAGAGCCAAACTCCTGGACCTGTGGCTTACAGGCGTGTCGGCCAGGTATGCTTTCAAGCGCTTGCGTGCAACTCCGTACTTGCTGTTCTCCAGGTTCAGGACCGGCAGGGTGCACAGAACTTTGAGGAAGGAGTACACGTTGGGAAAAAATTTGACTTCCGAGAGCTGCAGGGTGTCGTAGATGGTGGAGGGCAGGCTGAACTCTTTGCCTCTGTGCTTCCATTTGATCCTCCAGCAGTGGAGCTCAGCGGGGAGAGTGTCGGGGTTGGGAAGATCGTTCTTATAGATGTCCGCGTTGTTCTCTTCCGACGTGTTGAACTTAAGATGCCCCATGACAAAGGGGACAAGCGACAGGCATTTGAGAGCTTTCAAATGATTTTCCGAGAAAACGTCCTTCAGCTCTTGTATGACCCGTCCCACAACGGGGACGCTCAGAAACTCCTTAAAGTAACTTTCGGGTTGGATTTCCAAGCTCGTCTCTGCTCGCTGTTTTCGGAGGTACAGCCTAGGCACCTTCACAGGGATTTCCATGGCGGCGGCCAAATTAATAGCCTCTTCAAACCAGAACTCGTGGTAGACTTCGATGTTGTCCATGACCTCGTTCAGGGAGTGCAGGACCGCCGTTAAGCTGTTGGCGGCAAAGTACACATCCAGGGTCTGCCCCTGCAGATTCTTGCCAAAGGCCCGAGTGAAGGACAGTGCGTATTTCAAGACCACGAGGGTCACTACAAACTCAAAGTCTGCCAACGTCTCCGATATCACGTAGGCCTCAGAGGTGATCCGGTCATTCCACTTCAAATCCTCATTGAAATGGATGCTGTCCATGCACAGCAGGAGAGATTCTAAGAGGTCCACTGCCAACTCAAAAGTATCATGCCGTTCTGTCCAGCTGGTGCGGCAAACCTCTTTGAGCTCGTTTGCCTTGGCCTCGTTGTTCTGATGGAAGATGGAAATGGCGTGCTCCAGCTCCGCCCTCGCCAGAGCCGACTTGCTGAAGAAGGAGTCTATCTTCTTCAAAGTCGACATGACCACCTGAACGCTCGTGAAGGGCAGAGAATTCGCCAGGAAGATGTTCAGGGCGCACGTGGAGCAGGGCGTGTACACCGCCATGGGGTACTTTTCCATCAGTCTGGTCGCGACCGATTTCATTTTGCACACAAACACCCCAGAGCTGACGTGAGCCTGGCCCCGGCAGTACTCCATATTCAGGCCCCACTTTTCCGTGATTTCGGTGAGGAGTCTGTCCGCCAGGGCCTCGTCGTCCCCCTCGCAGGGCAGGAACCCGATGAACTCCTCCCGCAGGCAGTTGGTCTGGTCGACGAAGCGCAGGAACAGGGGGAGGTGGTCCTCCCCGCCGATCTCCACGGCGTGGTCCGTGACCAGCGAGAAGAAGCGGCACTCCCTGATCTCCTGCAGCAGCTCCTCGCGGATGCAGCTCTCGCACACCTCCAGCATCCGCCTCTGCTGCAGCGCGGGGCAGTACTCCACATTCACAGCGGCCATCTCGAACCTCTTACGCAGGACCTCGTCCCCCGCGTTGATTCGGTACTCCAGCAGGGCCTGGAAGTTGCTGGGGGTGAAGGACTCGCTCCCTTCCTCGTGTTCGGCGTGCCCATTCAAGGGGATGTTCTGCTTCCCGATCACGACTATGATCTCAAACAGGGATTTCAGGTAATCCCGGATTTCCTTCTCCTCGGGGGTCATCGGAGGGGCATCTTCCACACTCTCGCCGCCCTCCTGTCGCTCGCTTATTTCGTTCTCCTTGTTGGTTTCCACCTGCTCGCACGAAGCTTCCACTTCAAGAGAAACACAAACAAACGAGAGAGAATCTGAGCTATTATTCAATATTCGTTGCACAACGGCAAAACCGCTCCAAGTTAAAGTTCTGGAACTTACGTCTCCTCTCTTTAATCTTCCTCAATTCTTCCTCGGTCTGCAAAGAAAAAAAATATATACTGTGCTTCAAGATCTGGATATGAGCAATTCGCATTTCAAGAAACCCAGGGCTCTTTTTGCAAAGCATCTTCACCGTAGTCTCCCCAAAACACGGACTGAAATGTATCTGTAGGTCACTGCTGCTAATCAACTCGTCTGATATATTATATACATTTTTGTTACGTATCACAGTACTTCACATTTGTAAAGTTGGGAAAAAAAGCAAGACCTACAAGATGAGATGTATTTTATGTCAACATATTATATAACTAATTTAGAGTCAAATTTGTTTGAACAATGGGCAAGGTGAAAAAAAAGTTTGCTACGAAAGGGTAAGGTTTATATTGCTCAATAAAATCTTTTTCTGTTGCATGATCAGTACGTTGCAATTTCTCCGTTATCCTATTGCCCATGAAAAACCTGGTTCTTCCCTCACTTTTCTTTGTAGGACTGTGAAGAGCCCATTTCCGGATGTTTTTTTTTCTTTCTGTGAATGACTACAGACAAGATTTAAACAGCAAACGTTATCCCTTGGGTTTGAGTTTTATGAGCCTGGCACTACAGAATGGTGAGCAAATTGTGTTCTTTTTCGTTCGAAATAATTAAACGTGGGAAAGGTCAGACATACCAGCTCTTTTATTCTCTTGCGGTGCCGGCTGTGCGGGTTGTTGAGGTGGCTTGTTAAGTCAAATATGGTTGGCACTGCGCTGTCCTTCAAGACAGTCCGGTACGGGCTCTGAAAATAGCGTGCAACAAATAAGGAAAGGCGATGACATTGGTAGTGCAAAAACTAACAACTAACTAAAAACTTTTGAAGGCCTGAAGTAATTGTAAAGCTTTTAACAAGTTTATGAGGTATTCATTAAGTCATCCAATTACATTTAAATGATGTAAACCCCTAACACTTCAAGACAATTTCCTAGGATTGTTTTTTTTCCTTTTTTTAAGAGACTTACACTTTTGCAGATCATGGAAGCCTCAAAGTGTTTGGCACACAGTCGATAGTGCTTATTCAGCTGATCTGAAGTCTTGCCCTCCAGGTCTGCCCGACGGCAGTTCTCCACCCAGAGCTTGCATCTAAACACAGGACACCGCATGGGAGAAAGAATTTCAGGCACACATACGTCAATACGATTAGGACTCATCCCTTACTTCTGCTCAATCATGATCTTCTCCATTACCCCTTCTGGGCCATGTATTATATTCTAGACTGTTTGTGATGTTAGTAAGTTACAATGATGCAAACGCAACTTCATAGTTACCCTAATTACTGAGCCATGCAGCTTACAGCTACCTGCATAATCGCAGTATTTTCTTTAAAGATGAGCAATACTGCTATGCAGAGAAAAAAAAATTAACTTATCATGAATACATTAGGATGCTGTAGCTTCTTAAAAGTGCAAAACTAGTTTCACTATTACCTATAAAATATTAATACAATGCCCACCATGAAAACTCTTGCATTACTTTAAACATTGAGTACTTTTTTGAATTATAAAAAACATCATTTTATTTAGAGCCTTTAAAAGATGCACCTCAAAGCGCTGTACAGTAGGTGTAAAAAAATTATAAGGATATTATAATTATATTATAACAAAGTTATGAGGTTAGCAAATTACAAAATAAGCATATCAGAAACACAAGCAGATAGAGGTGCAGCATTAGAAAATGGAGCAGACAAAGCCATTCTGAAAAGATTGGATTTAAATGCAGGCAGGGTAGGTGACCCTCCGATACCCTTGGGGATAGAATTCCAGAACTTTGGGGTGAAGAAAGAGACGGCCACATCATCCCTAGAGTGTAAACGAGCTTGGGGGACAGACAGGAGATCAGAGTAGACTCAGACTCAGACAGGTATGGAGGTACCAAGCCACACAGAACCGTATAAGCGAACATGAGGACTTTGAACTCGACTCGAAACCTGATAGAAAGCCAGTGCAAGGACACCAAGACAGGAGTAATGTTATCATTTTCACAAGACCTCCTCAGAACTCTTGCAGACAAATTCTGAACCTATTGGACTTTGTTCATTGTGGATTTAGATACCCCAGCGAGTAGAGCACTGCAGTCATCGATTTTAGAAAAGACACATGCGTTTTCACACAAAGATCAGACGATCATATGCAGTATTAAAGAGTTATGGTAGTGCTTTACATGCAATTTAAAGTGTCCTTCAAACATCTGAGTAGGGATCAAAATTGCAAAAGCTTCAATCAAGCGACCAATTAAATCAATTAAGAGTGAAAATCAGCAGATTTGCGAATCCACAGAACCCAAGCTGGGAAGCCCTAGCCCGAGACTGAGTTTCCTTTTAATTCCTCCATAGCTCAGTCACCATTGAGCGAATTATTTTACTAGATAACTGCAATATTTCTTAACAGGCTCAGGGGTGTTTATATAGGTTGTTTGGAATAACCATCTGTAAAATGCCTTAATAAAACCCCAAGAAATAAAGTAACAAGATTAATTGTTTATTGGAATGCTGAGTTTGGAACAAATACCAGAAGACAGCAGGCCCTGAAGTAACTAAATCTGAGACTCTTAGCATAAGGGTCACAAAGACAGTAATTTTCCAGACCAGGGGTTTAATGCATAGCAGTCTTTAACAGAGTAATCTGTCTCCGGTGAAAACCCCGCCTTCTTCAACAAAAGGCCTAACTTGAGTACTTGCTCTTTCCTCGCTGTTGCGTGCCGGGAGAGCCAAGTAGCTTTTAGAAAGCCAGCTTTAGAATCCACATCATGATTTCATACCTTTTAACAAAGAGAAATCACTCTTAAAAAAACTATTCAGCTGTTTATTATGGCAAACTTTTTTTAAAAAAAGTGATTCGTATAAGTAGCGTGAATGCAGGATGTCTGGAACAGTCCTGCTTTTGTATTACCTGAAACTGCATTTTGAACTCAACTGTTTATTTATTTTTATGTAATAGCGATGCAAGATTATTTTTCTTTCCGCACACCTTATCCTTCCACTGTTCTGTACAAGATTATACGAAGAAACCCTCGTAAGGATTTTGCCACCTTCAAAACGCTTTGTATTTTCCTTATTCTTCTCCCGTGCTTTGCTAGTTAATCTACTTGAAATGAAATAACCATACACCTGTTCGGTTAAAACATACCTTGTGGGGTCTCTAGGAAACCTGAAGAAAGCCAGATCTGATTGAGTGCTTTTCCTGGTGCAGTTCGGGGCCGCGCAAAAATTCGGCATTATTCATGAATGGACGATTCGTGCACCTCCAAATTGTTACCAAAATGAAGTAATTTCGCGTTACGCTAACTTTGGTTTAATGGTCGTAATTTATTTATGTGATCTATAATTAGAAATCGTTAGACGGCGGCAGAAAAGTGCGCAATAGTGCTTTGTGTGGCCTGGAGGATTCAAAGCTATCCGTCCGCCTCCGTCCCACAATGCACTGCCAATCCCCCTCACTTTGCACGACACCCAGAAATTTCAGGGTCTGGAGGAAAGGAATCACTCGGCACATTTTCTTCAATAATCTCAAGGCTGCGATCAGAATTGTGATTTTATGTATCGATGTGTGGGGGGGAAAAGAACTGTTTGAAAATATAATTGGATACTTCATTAAGCCATTAAATAAATTAATCGCACGTGTTTGCACTTAATTCTAATTGGTAATTTTTATGAACAGTATACATTTTCTAATAGCCTGTCGCATTTATGAATTTCCAAAAATAGGTATGTTGGATCAAAGTAATTGCATAAGCCGTAACATACATAAGGTGTGCATTCACTTAGAACCGTTATTGAAACTAATCTCCGCCTTTATATTAATTGAATTTACAACCACCCAATTCTGCATGTTGCCCAACACATGCAAATTGTATTTTAAGATATTTTCAGATTAGTTGTAAAATACAGTTTTATAATTAGAAGTTAAAAGTACAAAGGATTTTCAAAGTCTGTATTAAGAAAACTAGCATAAAATAGCATTACCATTTTTTTCCATTTACCATTTCAGAAAGCAAGGGTATTTTCTAGAAAGATAAGGGGATGCTCACTAATATATATATATATTCACAGGTTTAGGCTAATGTGTTAGAAAAACACCATGAAACCACCATGAGTGCCATGAAACCAATACGTTGCCAACTTCTATTTATACAGAGGATGTTTCGTACAATAACGAAATTCCTACTGATATTTTAAAAGGGAGTGGTTACAGATTCAACCATGTTTTATTCTGATATAGCACCAGGACAAGTCTTTAAACAACGAAAATCTTTTGCTGCAAAATTTCAAAGTAAAAAACGTCCAATATCTATATGAGGAGAATCGGCTACGTGCATCGCCTGAAGTCCCATAGTCCCTAGCCACCAGACAGAACGATAACAACAATGACGACATGGGTCCTTTAACAGGAAATTTAATTTTCTTGCCTGACTGAAAAGTGTACATTTTCAGTACGCTGTCGATCTTACATTTCTTATCGTAACTGACACACAAACGTTAATGTGCATGAATGTAAGGAAGAGTATGAAGGGCTTTAAATTTGATGTGTTTTTTACTTTCCAGGTTTATTTTTATAATTATTATTATTATTATTTTTATAGGAGTATGGCAGGCTGTCCCAGACGGGGTCCTAGTGTTTTGGCGTCGATTAATCATGGCGGAATCGAAGGGGTGTGAGGGATCCGAAATGGAATTTCAATAAAAAACAAAAAATACTTTAAATTAATGGATGAAAAATTGATTATCGAAAGAAAGTACAATGAATACAGTCGTCTGCCGGCCGGGATTATAACTAAGACCCTGTTTTCTTTTCTACAGTGAATGGTAATTGGTTCTTGTTTGAGAACAATTTTTGTTTGCTTTATCTGTTTATATAGAAGAGATTTCTGTTTCTTCGTCAGAAGGCTGGCCTTAAAGATATATTTAGACAACGTAAAGTGGAGACTAGTATATTCTCTGACCGGGGTGTATGGGGAAAAAAATCTGTATTTCGATGTCTTTGGAGAGTTTTGCTTCAGTGGGTCCGTTATGTTAGCGTTCCGTCCAGCAATCCAGTTGGTTTCGAATCCAAGCACTTGTCCTGTACGTAACCGTAACCGCACAGAAAACCAACGTTTAGAGAATCGTTTAGGATCGGAAGGCATTACATTGTTTTGGGGGGGGTGGAAGACATGGAGCAAGGTTTTTTTTTTCAAAAAAAAAAAGCAAACGATTGCTGTGTTAAACGCCCGGATCATCTGAGAACGCAACAATCAGACTATTCGATGCGTAAAATGTACTGTATTGTATGTTTAATCGTTTATTTTATAACTCTTAAACAGCCTTAGAGCTCCGAATCGGGCTGCTTTGAAAATGCACGGCACTTAACGCCTGCGCGCTGCCATTCGGAGGCTGGCTGCTGTGAATCTCATTGCGCCTGCAGCGTCTGCGTAATTCTGGTGGGCAGAATCAGAGGGCAGTAGCTAGCGCAATGATTATGGAGGACGGATTTGCGCTCCATTAAGTTTTTTTTTTGTTGATGCAGTTATATTTTAGACAATATAGAGATGTGTCTTTTAAAAGGCGTCTTTTAAAAACTCAATAAATCCTAATTTCAAATACGACCGAACTTAACTCTGAAGCAGCTGAAATAACACAGTTATCATACAGGAAACAGTAGGTCTCCGAATTCATTCGAGGCGCCACCATGAGCAGTAAAGGAGGTGGAAAATTCAAGTTTCCTGTTTGATTTTTTTTGTCTTATCATCATAGTTTCATCTTTTCAGTTGGAGATGAGAAACTTAAAGGTGCAAAGCATGAGAAAAAAAATCTGTTGCCAAATTGAAGTTTGAATTCAAAATTCATGATCTTGAATGATATTTCATTCTACACATATGACTGCACTGAGCTCTGAAACCATCCAGGATAATAATCCATTAAAAGGGAATAGAATAACTATTTGCATTCATCTAGTTTTTTTTTATCTTAAAACAAAGCGTTTAGTTCACTCATCCTCTCACATGCAGAGAGCAACAGGGTGATATGTGGCAGTCATACACCAGCAGCCCCAATACATAGCAGATCTGGTACAGGAAGAATTTACTTCACCAGTTGGATTAAGGGGGCAAGGGTTTATGGAGGACAGATTGTGCAAGCCCAGGATGGAATTTCTCCAGGACAAATAGCCTTCCCAAAAGAAACACCACTATCTCATTGCTACATCTTCCCAAAGAAGCTCTTAAAAAGCCATATTTAGAACCCAGCACAGCAAAACTTTAAGTCCAGTGATTTTGTTCTCATGATACCATAGTTGTTGTATTTTGAGTAAGGTTAACATTTTTATTAATGGGTGCTTTTATTTTTAACAAGTTCTTTTTATCATGCTGCATGTCAAGTTCATGACCAGGAAGGTGTGAAAGCTGTGCCGGCTGAAATGTGCTTTTTGTCTTGGGCAGTTCATGATCCAGCAGGAGAGGCCCCAGCCAGCAGCAGCCATGCCTGTTGTGTGGCCCACCCTCCTGGACCTCAACAGGGACGAGTGCAAGAGGATTCTCCGCAAACTCGGTGAGCCTTGCCTCCCAGTAGCTGATCAGATGGGAGTGGAGAAGTGGGTGGGGAGTTTGGGCTTGCTTGTAACTGGGAAGATTCCATGGTACTTCACTCCGATGGCAACAGCTAGATAACTGGATACACATTTTAGGGTACTTTATATAAAGATCTTAGCCAATTCTTGTAATTTAAACACAAAATCTTGAGTATGATGCAAATGTACACAGTATATCGCGTCACTAGTCGCGTATCCTTTTTGTTGTGATTTTTAAATAAACTAGTTAGGCCTTTAGTAAGGTACAATTACCAATTCCGTTTTTCAATGCTTTTATTTTGTATATTGGAATATTGTAAAGCATCTTGTCGATTGTATTTAGTAGTTTAAAATTCTAATTTCGTAAGTACTATATTTTGGGCTACTTTAAAATGATTTGAGTAAGATTTAAAGTGTTTCACAAGCGTACAGTGCGTTTTCTTGCTGAGTTAACTGCAGTGACTGTGAGGATGGTTTGGGTGTTTCAGAGCTCGAGGCATATGCTGGGGTCATCAGTGCACTGAGAGCTCAAGGGGATCTGACTAAGGACAAGAAGGATCTTTTGGGAGAACTTACTAAAGTCCTCAGGTAACTTGGAAGTCCGCTCAGTTTGCCTGCCTCTTTCCTAATGAACTAGAACTATTTTTCAAGTTTGTTGTCCGGTTTGGTTTGGCCTCATAAAAAGAAATATCACTGTGTAATGTCAAAGAAAGCACCCAGCACATGAGACATTGAATTCTAGATTTGTATAAAACAAAGTTTTGTCCAATAGGCATGATGTATTTCTAAGTCCTGTCTTTTTGCTTTGTCCATGTGATGATCTACAAACTGACCTAAAATGATATTGCTTTTTTCATTCTCAGCATTTCAACTGAGCGCCACCGTGCCGAGGTTCGCAGGGCTGTGAATGATGAAAGGTTAACTACGATTGCTTATCAGTAAGCTATGAAGAATTTGTTTCTCTCTTATACTGATCATCCTGTGTGCATACATTTTCATGACTTTACACGGCACCTTCTAACACAGGAGAAGAATAAATACTAGATGAGCAAAAGGTCTGCTAAGGGCAGTTTTGCATGTATTTCACAATTCAGAAATCTCAGTGCACAGTAATCTGTAAGTTGGTCAACAGTAGCAAGTGATAACTTTTATGTGTGTTGAGTACATTTACTAAAAATTAGCCTTAGTGTGAGTGTGTGCATGTTCGTGTCTGTGTGTGATGGACTAGCATTCCGACCAAGCTGTGTCCCTTTGCTTGCTGGGATAGGCTCAGCCATGAGTCACATGACCCTGTACTGGATAAAGCTGATAAAGAGATGAATGGATGAATAACCTTTTGTAAAAACAGAGACTTGTTCGAAATAATTGGAACGCTGGTTTGGGAGCAACAAAGAGGTGGCGTACACAAGTCTAGGTAAATAATGCTGCCCTCGTATAAAGATAGTTCAGGTGGGTAGCTGCATCAGCATGCGTAGGCTGCAAAGGAACAAGTAATAGGTTTATTCCATGCTGAAAAAAAGAAGAAAGAGAACACAACGTTTCGGCCGTGGAGCCTTC